GTCCACGTGGACCAAGCGTCTAGTCCCTGTTGTGTAGACAGTGTCCATAAAGACAAGGTGTCTGGTCTTTGCAGGCTGAAGTGTCCATGTGGACAAGGTGTCTGGGCCCTGTGGTTTGGAGAGTATCTGAAGATGGGGTGTTTGGTCTCTGTTATCTAGATGTCCGTGAGGATGGGGCACCTTGTTCCTATGGTTGAAACATTATCTATGAGGTCGTGGTATCTGGTCCCTGTGGCCTGAACAGTGTTCATGAGAAAGGAAATGCCTCATGCCTGTGGCTTGGCAGTGTCAATGAGGATGAGGTGTCTGGTCCCTGTGGCTTGGACAGCGTCCGTAAGGACGAGGGCATCTGGGCCTTTTGGTGGCCAGTGATCATGAGGATGATGTGTCTGGTTTCTGTGGTCTAGACAGCATTCGTGAGTACAGGTTGTCTGGTCCCTGTTATCTGGACAGTGTTCGTGAGGACAAGATGTCCATTTCTTGTGGTCTGAACAGTTCCTATGAGGAAAAGGTGTTTGGTCCCTGTGGTTTGGATAGCGTCCATGAAGGTGAGGGTGTCCAGTTTCTGTTTCTGCTGTTGGGGTAGTGATCATGATGAGGTGTCTTGCCCTGTGGTCTAGACACTGTTGATGAGGATGGAGTGTACTCTGTAGGACTGTGAGTACTGTGTCCATGAGGACAAGGTGTCAGTTTCCTTTAATCTGGACAGGCTCTATGAGGGCAAAAGGTTTGGTTCCCATAGTCCAGTGTCTATGAAGATGGAACGTCTGGTTCCTGTTATCTGGACCAGGTGTCTGATCTCTGTGGTCTGGAGAGTACCTATCAGGATGGTTTGGCTGTTTTCTGAGGTATGCAGCTTCCATGAGGACTGAATCTCTGGTCCCTGTGGTCTAGACAGCATCCATGATGATGAGAGCGTCTGCTCCCTGTGATTTGGCCAGCGAGCATGAGGACAAGGTTTGTTGTCCTTTAGCCTAGACGGTGTTCATTAGTGTGGGGTATCTTTTCTCTATGGTCTAGGCAGTTTCCATGAGGACGGAGTATCCAATCTCTGTATTCTGAACAGTTCCACGAGAACATGGTGTTTGTGTCCTGTGATCTGGACAGTTTCTATGAGAACAAGTGTCTAGTTCCTTGGTCCAAACGGTGTCCATGAGGATGGGGATGTCTCGTCCCTGTGGTCTGGACAGTATGAGAATGGGAGTGTCTAACTTCTTTGGTCTGGACAGTGTCCATGAAGACAGAGTGTCTTTTCCCTGTGGTTTGGAAAGTGTTCATGAAGACAAGGGTGTCTTAGCTCTGTGGTCTAGACAGTGTCCATGAGGACAACATGTATGGCTAATGGGTTGGACAGTGTTTATAAGGACAGAGTGTCTGGTCCCTGAGGTCTTCACATTAGGACAAGGTGACTGACCCCTGTGGCCTGCACAGGCCCATGAGGACAGGGTCTCTGGTCACTGGGGTCAGGATAGTGTCCATAAAGGTGGGGTATCTGGTCCCCATAACCTGAACAGTGTCTGTGAGGATAGAGTATCTGGTATCTGTGGTCTACTTGAGGTCCATGTGGATGGGTGTCTGGTCCCAGTGGTCTGGAGAGTATCCATGAAGACAGTGTCTGGTTTCTGTGGTTTGAACAGTGTACCTGAGTACAGGGTTTCTGATCCGTAAGTCTGGATAGTGTCCGTGAAAATGAGGATGTCTGGCATCTGCAGTCTAGATGGTGTCCATAAGGATAGATTGTCTAACACCTGTAGATGACTGTCCCTGTGTCTGGAGAGTTTTTTTAGGACTAAGTTTCTGGATTCTGTGGTCTGGACAATGTTTATGAGGACGGGGAGTCTTGTCCCCATGCTCTGGGAAGTGTCTATGAAAACAGGGTGTCTAGCCCCTCTGGTCTGGACAGTGTCTATGAGGAGAGGATTCTAGCCTTACGGGTTGGAGAGTATCTATGACACTGACTAGACCACAGGGACAAGACGTGCCATCTTCATTGGCCCTGTCCAGACACAGGGACCAAAACCCCCACCTCACAGACACTGTCCAGGTCACAGGCACCAGACACCCTGTCCTAATGGGCACTGTCTAGACCACAGGAGTCAGAGACCTTGTCCTCATAGACACTGACCAGACCACAGGGAACCGACACACCTTTTCCTCACAGTGTCCAGACAGTAGGAAACAGACACCCCATCCTCAAAGACACCATCCAGACCACAGAAACCAGACATCCCATCCTTATGAACAATTCCCAGATCACCAGATACCTCAGCCTCATGGAAACTGTCTGACCACAGGGACCAGACACTCTGTGTTTTCTCTCTGAGTCAGAGTCTCACTCTGTTGCCCAGCCTGGAGTGCAATGGCACGCTCACAGACACTGCAGCCTCGACCTACTGGGCTCAGGCAGTACTTCCACCTCAGCCTTCCATGTATCTGGAACTACAGGTATGCACTACCACGCCCAGCTAATTTTTTTATTTATTGTAGAGATAAGCTCTCACCAAGTTGCCCAGACTGGTCTCAAACTCAGGCAATCCTCTCACCTTGGCCTCCCAACACTCTTTTTTAGAACACTGTCTAGACCCTAGGAATTGGACACCACATCCTCATGGACACCTTCCAGACCACAGGGACCAGACACCGTGTCCTCATGGATACTATCTAGATCACATTACCAACCACTTGTCCTTGTAGACTCTGTCTAGGCAACAGGAAACACACCCGTCCTCATGAACACTGACCAGTTCAAAGAGACCAGATACTTCATTCTTATAGATGCTGTCCTCAACACAGGGACCAAACAACCACGTCATCATGAACACTGTGCAGATCACAATGACCAGGCACTATGACCTTATAGATGCTATCCAGACCGCAGGGAGCAGACATTACATACTCATAGACACTGTCCAGACCACAGGAACCAGACACTCTCGTCCTAATACTGTTCAGGCCAAAGGGACCAGACACCCCATCTTCATGGATGCAGTCTAGACCACAGGGACCAGAAATCTTGTCTTCATAGACACTGTTCAGGCCCCAGGGACCAAAAACCCCATTCCCATGAACTGCGTAGACCACAGGGACAAGATACCCCCATTCTCATAGACATTGTTCAGACCACAGTGAATAAACACCCTATCTTCATGAACACTACACATACAAGAGTGGTAAGACACCCTGCCCTTATAGACACTGTCTACACCACAATAATGAGAAGAGCAAGAAATTTCCTAAAATTCCAATATCAATCTGGAAAAAAAATTATTCCAGATTTTAAATTTACAGAAGTTCTTCTATTTTTGGTCAATAATTCACATATAAACACATAGAGTCTACATAAAAATGTTATATTGTGTATTACAAAAAATTAAATTCAAAATTCTTAGCAATAAATCTCTTAAAGTTTTATTTAAGATATATTTTGTGAGATTTTAAAATTCAGATGTTTCTATATATACCATTCACAATATATAGCTCATTATTAATGCTTTGCCTATTCAAACTAATTTCGTACTTACCCCTGTTTTAGAATCTAATTACATTTTTCTTTTACACACAATACCAACAAACTTAATCCTCTGGCCTGTGGACGGTGTATCTTCTTTATTTAAAACTAAGTGACCTAAACAGTGTATTTGTAACCTGCAAATGACTGAAACTCTCCAGCTAAAAACTTGTTGGCACATTAGAACTTCCAGCCTTTCATTAGAATGGACAAAGTACTGTATGAAGCGGTATGGGGTGGGGAGAGCAGTGGGAAAAGAAAGTTGGGGCTGAAACACAGGCAAAGAAGACTTGTATGCATATGTAGCGTAGGATAAACTTTTTCTGTGTGTAGTTTGCTAGTAAGTTATCACACTTGAAATTGTTTTGTTATTTTTCCATTGAAAATAAGTAAACACCCACAGATGAAAACAATTACTTGCTCCATAATTCTTACCTCTAAATGCTATCTTTATGTTTTACCTGTACATGTAACTACTCGTAAATAAAAACTAAAAGTCTGTGTTTTGCAGGCTAGAAGGTGTATGTTTCAAAAATGTAGACTACAATTTTGTAAATAGTTTAGAATTTAGACTTTTGACTATATTTTTATATAAGCATAACTGTCATAACAATTCCGTAGTGATAAAAAGAAAAAGAAACATAACCAACAGGATCAATAGTCTCAAAATTATTTGATGTTTAAAGGCACTGGGAAAAAAGATAACTGGCAAAGTCATTTCCCTATGCTACCCAATAGTATATTATTATTATCAATTCCTTATAACCTTGAGTAGGGTGGTACAGGTTAATGTTGGTGACAGGTTATAGTTCAATAAATGGATAAACATCTTAAAACACTAAGTTATTAAAACATAGTTACCCTTAGTTGAAAAAAATTACTTCAAAATCCACAGTAATACCTTAATGTGGAAATGGTAAAATAAAAAATAAAATAATTCCTAAAAATGTATCTATTATGCAGAATATTACCTTGAACACCTACCTCATACATCACTTAGAAGAGTGTTATAAGACAAGCAGAGTCTCTCCACTTAGATTTTCTCCATGTGCCTTACATTCTAGTGTCCTTAATTTTTTTCACTGAAGTGTATAAATAATGCCCACCTAAAAAGGAGGACCTTTCCTAGTTCTGAAGCAGCAAGCATTGCCCACATGCTTTCACACAAATACCAGGAATAAAGGTAGATGTTCACATGATTTGAAAGTTGAATTACATCAATATTTGGTTTACAAAAGTCTATGATTACTTTAATGCAAAAAGTTTACCTTGAATGTAATTACAGCTCTTCATGAGTCTAATAATATATGAGGGGGACCCAAAAAACCCAGAAACTTATTTTTAATAAATTGCATATTTATTTGTACATGTTTAAACGTCAGTCACCTTCAGAGTGCTACAATACACCTATTTGAGATGCTTATTCCACTGCTCAAAACAGATTCTGAATGCATCAGTTTTGATGTCTTTCAGTGCTTCTGCCATTTTTGTTTCACCTCTTCCATATCACCAAAATGTTTTCCTTTGAGGACTTTTATCATCTAGGAAACAAAAAAAGTCACTCAGGAAGAGATGGGGGTGAATACGAAGGACAGAACACAGGAGGGTCATGCTCTTTTTGGTAAAAACTGCTGAACACGCAGCATGATGTGGGCAGACTGTTCATGTAGGTTATTCATCATGAAATGGGCAAATGTGTTGAAAATCTCTAAAAAAAAAATTCACTAAAGCTGAATGCAGCCTCTCACAACGTTAGCTGGTACAACGATGCCAACAGGTTCTGAGAAGCCTCACCTCGTGGGGGAAATCTATGCCACAAGGGGCCCACCCTCCGAAAGGAATTCTGGGGTTTTTTGGGTCCCCATCATACAAGTAAATTATCTAACTGTATTAATTTTGATTATCTATAAGAAACACTCTGACTTAATATCTGAAGGTATTAGCACTTTACCACTTTCTGTTAATTCTGTGATGTATATTTAGACTAGATTTTACATTCTTTTTTTTTTTTTTTCACATTTACAGCATCTGTAAAGTACCATTCAGTATAAACTCTCTGGTGTTTTCTAAAATACATATTTTGGGCAAATTTTTTTCACATTCATTTCTGATACAAATTATCTTATGTTAAATAAAGTTTGAGCAACTGATGGAGGATCACTTTCAGTGTAAATTCTCCTGTGGACAATAAGATGTCATATGATACATGAATGTACCAGTGTTAGCATTTGTAAAGTTATCCCTCAATAGAAATACTCTTGCGTACTCTAAGGTTTATATTCTGTGACGGGTTTGCCACAGTCATGACATTTATATGGCTTAATCCAGCATGAGCTATCTGATGTTGGTAAGATGTGAGTAGTTATGACATGTTTTGCCAAATGTTTTACATTCCTAGGACTTTTTTCCAGTATGAATTCTCTTATGCTGAGAGAGACTTCTGCTCTGGTTAAAAGCTTTGCCACGTTCTTTGCATTTGTAGGGCTTCTCTCTAGTATGAATTAGTTTATGTTTAGTAAGGTGTGAGCTCCGCTTAAAGGCTTTGCCACACTCCTTGCATTTGTAGGGTTTCTCTCCAGCATGAATTCTTTTATGTTCAGTAAGGATTGAGCACCAGATAAAGTATTTCCCACATTCTTCACATCGGTAGGGTTTCTCTCCAGTATGAATTTTCTTGTGTTTATATAAGGCTGAGGGCTGTTTAAAGGCTTTGCCACATTCTTCACATTTGTAGGGCTTCTCTTTAGTGTGAATTCTTTTATGTTGAGTAAGGTTGGAGCACATTTTAAAAGATTTTCCACATTCTTTACAACTGTAGGGTTTCTCTCCAGTATGAATTCTTTCATGTATAGTAAGCTGTGAGCACTGGTTAAAGGATTTTCCACATTCTTTACAACTGTAGGGTTTCTCTCCAGTATGGATTCTGCTATGCTGAATACGGCTTGAAGATGTACTAAAAGATTTCCCACATTCTGTACACTGATATGGTTTCTCTCCAGTATGAGTTTTCATATGTTGAGTAAGGCTTGAGCCCTGGTTAAAAGATTTTCCACATTCTTCACAATTGTGGGGTTTCTCTCCAGTATGGATTATCTTATGTTTAATTAAGGTTGAGATCTGTTTAAAGGCTTTTCCACACTCTTCACATTTGTAGGGTTTCTCTTTAGAATGAATTTTTTTATGTTGGGTAAAGTTTGAGCACTGGTTAAAAGATTTCCCACATTCTTTACAACTGTAGGGTTTCTCTCCAGTGTGAATTCTGTTATGCTGAATAAGGGTCGAGCACTTGTTAAAAGACTTGCCACATTCTTCACATTGATAGGGTTTCTCTCCGGTATGAATTTTCATATGTTGAGTAACGCCTGCGTATTGTTTGAAAGATTTTCCACACTCTTCACATTGGTAGGGCTTCTCTCCAGTATGAATTCTCTTATGTTTAAATAAGGTTGAGGACTGTTTAAAGGCTTTGCCACATTCTTCACATTGGTAGGGCTTCTCTGTAGTGTGAATTCTTTTATGTTGTGTAAGGTGTGAGCACTGGTTGAAGGATTTTCCACACTCCTCACAACTGTAGGGTTTCTCTCCAGTATGAATTCTGTTATGCTGAGTAAGGCTTGACCACCTGTTAAAAGATTTTCCACACTCTTCACAACTGTAGGGTTTCTTTCCAGTATGAATTCTCTTATGGTGAGTAAGGCTTGAATACCTGTTAAAAGATTTTCCACACTCTTCACAATTGTAGGGTTTCTCTCCTGTATGAATTCTGTTATGTTGGATGAGGCTAGAGCACCTGTTAAAAGACTTTCCACATTCTTCACAGTGGTAGGGTTTCTCCTCAGCATGAATTACCTTGTGTCTGCTAAGGTGCGAGCGCCGCTTAAAGGCTCTGCCACATTCTTTACATTTGTAAGGGTGCTCTCCAGTATGAAGTCTGTTAGGCTGAGTAAGATGTGCGCGCTGCTTAAAAGATGTTCCATATTCTTCAAATTTGTAGGGCTCATCTCCAGTATGAGTTTTCTTATGTTTATTAAGGGTCAAAAAATGGTTAAAAGATTTTCCACATTCTTCACAACTGTAGGGCTTCTCTCCATTATGAATCTTCTTATGTACAGGAAGGATTGAGCACTGGTCAAAAGCTTTGCCAAACTCATTAAATCGTGAGAGTTTGCTATGGATGGGTGATGAATACTGGTTAAGCCCATTAAAATTTTCTTTCTGCTCCTTATTCTTGATCACACTCCTCCAGTCTTTCCTTAAATGCAAATGATCAAGCACACGGCTCCCATATTTTCTCAGGACCATTTTCTGAAATGAATCTGTTATGCTTTGCCCTTGCAAAAGACCTTGAGTGAAATACGAAGACACAGCTGAAAGAAATTTTAAAACATGAAATTAGATTCAGCTACATATACTTTACATGTCTAAAATATAAAATACCAAGCATATCTAAATGACATAATAGGATACCAAGGGACCTAATTCCTTTATAGACAACAAATTTAACAAAAAAATTGTTAAATTTTGGTCAGTTACCAAAACTGCTACATAAATAGCAGATATAACTAGAAAAATTAGTTATATCTACCCACAACAGCCACTTCTCCTCTCCAGTGCAACCTGTGTAAATGTGAAATGCAAATGTCAACCTCCTGGATTCCAGCTCAAAAGAGAAAGAAAATCATGGTACATGTGTCCCAATCTTCTGGCTCTTGAGGGCCTTTCCAAAGACTGGTTTCTGTCTTCCATGACACAGAGTGCTAAAAAAATGGTGATATACTTTGAATGACAGGTTGTGTCTACTGAGATCAAGGATAAATGCTTGTTACAAAGGTAACTGGTAAATGGTTGAAACAGGCATAGCACATGACTATAGATTCTTAAGAAACATGAGCAAAAAAAAGAAAAGAAAAGAAATGAAACATGAGCAAACCTCTTTAACTAAAAAGCACACATATTGGCAGGGCATGGTGGCTCAAGCCTATAATCCCAGCACTCTGAGAGGCTGAGGTGAGCAGATTGCCTGAGCCCACAGGTTCGAGAACAGCCTGGACGACTTGGTGGGACCTCATCTCTACAATAAAAATTAAAAAAAAAAATTAGTCAAGCATGGTAGCGCATGCTTATAGTTCTGGTTACTTGGAAGAATCGCCTGAGGCCAGCGACACTGGGGTGGCTGTGAGCATGCCACTGTACTCCAGCCTGGGTAACAGAATGACACTCCAACTCAAAAATACACAAAAAATCACATATTCAGGTAAGACATACTGTGAGAACAAGCTTGAGAGAGTCACAAAATTTCTAGTATGGTATATTGCTATGGGGCCGATCTATCAAAACTGCTCTAGGTGGCTTTTTATACCGCCCAAATCTCAACTGAAAATTACAATATGTTCAAAGTGTCAGAGTAACATGATCCAATTAGAGGAACAAAATAAATATTCATAAATCAACTTTAAAAAGTATTATGGCCAGGTACAGTAGCTCAAGACTGTAATCCCAGCACTTAGGGAGGCCAAGATGAGAGTATAGCCTGAGCCCAGGCGTTAGGGACCAGCCTGAGGAACTTGATGAGACCTCATCTCTACGATAAATCAAAAAAGTATCTGGGTGTGGTAGAACGTGCCTGTGCCCAGCAGGTCAAGGCTGCAGTGGCCGTGAGTGTGCCACTGCACTCCAGTCTGAGTGACAGTGAGATTCCAACTCAAAAAAAAAGCACTGTAAATTATCAGAACAAATAAAAATAATCACCTCGATCATGTTCAATAAGAAATGGCAACACAGACAACTACATAAAAATTTTGCAAATCAATGAAAAGTATAAAAAGAAACAAAACACACACTGAAGTATACCAAAAAATGACTCAGGCTGGGTATGGTTGCTCACACCTGTAATCCTAACACTTTGGGAGGTGGAGGAGAGACAACTGCCTGAGCCCAGGAGTTTGAGACCAGCTTGGTCAACTTGTTGAAACCTCATCTCTACAATAAATCAAAAAAATATGCCAGGTGTGGTGGTGCACACCTGCAGTTCCAGCTATTTGGAAGGCTGAGGCATAAGGGTCACTTGAACCCCTCAGGTCGAGGCTGCTGTAGCCATGGTCATGCCACCGCACCACAGCTGGGCAACAGAACAAGATTCCAACTAAAAAAACTTAGAAATTCTCAAATGTAAAAAAATTAGAAAAAATTAGTAAATTCAACCAAATGTATACTAAAATAAAAACAGAGGGACCCATAATAAGGCACAATATGAGCAAATTCTGAAAGTCACAGACAAGAGACTCTTGAAAGTAGCAAGAGGAAAATGATGTATCATGCATGATCCTACAAGATTACCAGCGGATCTGTCTACAGACAGAAACCTGGGAAGCTAGAGAGGGGTTTGGTGATATAGTGAAAGTGCTGAAAAACAAAAACTTCCAAGTAAGAGTACAATAACCAGCAAAACTGCTCTTTATAATTAAGAAAAAATATTTTTCAAACTAACCAAACACTGAAAAATATATCAATGGTAGAACTGCCCTACAAGAAATATAAACACCCAGGCACAGTGGTTCATGCCTATAAGGGTTACCTGAGCTCAGGGGTTTGAGACCAACCTGAGCAACTTGGCAGGACCGCATCTCTACAATAAATAAAAAAGTTAGCTGGACATGCTGGCACATGACTGTGGTTCCAACTACTTGGAAGGCTGAGGTGGAAGGATCTCGAGTCCAGCAGGTCGAGGCTGTGGTGGCTGTGAGCATGCCACTGCACCCTAGCCGGGGGAGAGTGAGACTCCAACTCGAAAAGAAAAGAAAAAAAGAAAATAAAAGAAATACAAACAGGTGTCAGTCCCACTGAAAATTTTAAAATGCTAAAAACAAAAGAAAATAAAGGAGAAATACACAACTTTCTGTAAAAGGTATGAACATACTCAAAAATAAATTCTATAGTATTATAATGATGAAACAAAAAACTTTTAATTAAAATCTAAATTTCAAAAGACAAGAGCATAAAAAATAAACACTAGTTAACATACATGCAATGTAAAAATAAACAATTAGTGTTATTAATAACAAAGTTGAAGGCAAATGTAATCAGAATTTTTGTATGCAACTGAACTTAAGTTGTTACAAGTGGGGCAACCTCTTCAGGTCCCCTTCCACTGTGGGAGCTTTTCTGTCCTCTCAATAAATTCTGCTTTCTAAAAAAAAAAAAAAAGTTGTTACTAGTTTAAAATGTACTGTTGTGGCAGGGTGTGGTGGCTTAGCCTGTAATCCCAGCGCTTTGGGAGCCTGAGGCAAACAGATTGGCTGAGTTCAGGGGTTCAAAAGCAGCCTGAGCAACTTGGTGAGACTTCATCTCTACAATAAATGAAAGACTAAGCTGGGTGTGGTCTGCGCCTGTGGTTCTAGCTACTTGGAAGGTTGAGGCGGAAGGATTGCTGGAACCCAGCAGGTCGACGCTGTGGTGGCCATAAGTGTGCCACTGCACTCCAGCCTGGGGGACAGAGTAAGACTCCAACTCAAAAAATAAAATAAAATATACTATTGTAACTTTAATAGGTTTTATGTAATTCCCATTGTGCCCACAAAACAAAGACCTATGGAGATACGCAAAAGAATGTAACAACGGAGTCAAAGCATGTCACTACAAAAATCAACAAGACATCGAGAAAAATAGAAATATAAAGAAAAACAAAATAGCAACAAGAATCAGATAGAACAATAAAATGGTAATAGTAAGTACTTCTTTCTCAGAAAACTATTTATTTATTAGTGAACTAAACTTTCCAAATGACCTATGTTAAATAAAGGGACTTAAAAAACCCCCAAAATTCAAGATCCAACTATATCCTGTCTACAAGAGACTCGCTGTAGATCTCATGACATAAATTAGACTGAAAGTGTTGGGACAGAAAAAGATATTTCAAGCAAACATTAACCAAATGAGAGGAGAGGTAACAATTATATTAGGAAAAATACATTTTAAGCAAAAATCTGTCATTTCATAAATTATACTTTAAGTCAAAACTTACAAGAGACAAAGGAAATTAAAATATCATAAAAGTGCTCACTCACTGGGAATTTATAAATATATCTCATAATAGGTCACATATATGAAGCAAACACTGACAGACTTGAAACAGGAAATACACAGCAATATGATCCTGGTAGAATGCTTACTTCACTATACCATTTTCAGTAATTTTTTTTTTTTTTTTTTTTTGAGTTGGAGTCTCACTGTCACACAGACTGGAGTGCAGTGGCCACTCCTAGCCACCGCAGCCTTGACCTGCTAGGCTCCGGCGATCCTGCCACCTCAGCCTTCCAAGTAGCTGGAACTACAGGTATGCACTACCACGCCCGGCTGATTTTTTGATTTATTGTAGAGATGAGTTCTCGCAGCCCAGGCGGGTCTTGAACCTGCGGACTCAGGCTATAATATTTCAAAAAATTAGCCGGGCGTGGTAGCATACGCCTGTAGTTCCAGCTACTTGGAAGGCTGAAGCAGAAGGATCGCCGGAGCCCAAGCAGGTTGAGGCTGCAGTGGCTGGGAGTGGCCACTGCACTCCAGTCTGGGTGACAGAGTGAGACTCCAACTCAAAAAAACAAAACAAAACAAAATAAATTACCAAACTCAGTTCATATTAAAATACTAAATTTTTGAATTAAAATACTAAATTTTTGAATTAAAATACCATTAGATTTTCTTATATTTAGGGAGATGCTTCATTTTCTGACAAAATTTCTGAATATAAATTTCTGGCAGCCATAAAAAAGACTGAAGCCATGTCGTTTGCAGCAACATGGATGGAGCTTTAGATCATCATCCTATGTGAACTGATGCAGAAACAGAAAACCAGACACCACATGTTCTCACTCATATGTGGGAGTTAAATGGTCACAATGATGGAAATAATAGACACTGGAGACACTAATAAGGTGGGGGATGCGGGGAGGAGTTAGGGTTCAGAAACTACCTACAGGGCACAATGTTCACTACCTAGGGAATGGGCCACCTGAGACCCAATTCCCATGACTACACAGTATGCCCATGTAACAAACATGCATGTGTACCCTGTGAATCTAAAATAACATTTTAAATGGAGAAAAAAAAGTCCCCACTGGGAATAAGGTAAATGGACTACAATTCAGACTTAAATCAATCAAGAACTTTATTTTCTTCATCCTACAGAAACCCTCCTCTCGTTCGTGACCCGCCTGGGCAACCTGACGAGACCTTATCTCTACAATAAATCAAAAATCAGCCGGGCGTGGTAGCACGCGCCTGTAGTTCCAGCTACTTGGAAGGCTGAGGCGGAAGGATCGCCGGAGCCCAGCAGGTCGAGGCTGCGGTGGCCATGAGCATGCCACTGCACTCAGCCTGGGCGAGAGTGAGACTCCAACTCAAAAAAAAAAAAAGAAAGAAACCTTCCTCTCAAGTCCCTTTGTTGGAGCCCTGACCTACTCCTCGTTCAGAGTTGCCTGATTCACAAATTGCTGTCTGCTCAAATAAACCCTTTAAAAACAATTTTTTTTTGAAGAATCACATTTGAAACCTCCGTAAGCTAAGAAACCATAAAGCAGACAGCATATACTCTGCCACTCTGTCACCACTACTCTTACACATTTCAAACATGACGCAAAAAGAGAGGTTAAAGAAGTATTTAACACAACGTTCCTCAAAAATATGCAAATATTCCCACACCCCCGAAAAACAGGTAGTCAGATCATAGTCTCTTATAAGCATGAAGAAGTCCTTGATTTTCACTGTGAACTCAAAAGCATCACCAAAGGCAAAATAGAGTTCTTACAGAATTTAAGAGCGTGGGCAGACAAGGTCCGATGCAAAAGCAAGGAAAAGACACCTAGGTTTCTCTGAAACCACTTCCACTGGAGCAAAGCTTGCCAATCACATTTTAAGGCCTAGCTCCATCCTTGGCCTTGAGACCTCTAGCTTGCATCACCTGCTTCATTTACGCTCCACCTACCTGGGTGTTTGGCTCCTATGTCGCATCTGTTCACATTCCAAGGCTCTTTCCTTTGCTCCAGAGAGGTGATCACGTCCGGCTTAAAAATAACAAGACCTGTTTTATTAGAAAAAATAATGTAACTTTTGCTGGGATTGCCGTTACCACCTAGTACTGTGCTAAATAGAGAAAATGAAACTATAGAAAATTCTAGAAAACTAACCCTAAAATACTGTTTCCTATCAAAACCTTTAGAATATTCAAGAAGTATTTTAAATTTGTGGGTTCTTCGTTCTACTACCTCGTACGACCGAATCAGAAATTAATGGTGCAACTTAATTTTACAGTGTGGGCAATAAAATTTTATGCCACTAAATTCATTAAATTACCACTCATCTACTCTGAAGTATACATATCAGCTCAAGAATGAGAAAGATGAGTGTCAAAATAAAATATCTTGAACATTTTCTTTTCTGCATCAACAGATCTCCAAGTTTTCCTTGGAGATAGGGATCTGAAGCTTACACATGCAAAGCAGACACACCCAGAAAATGGAGGGAAATTAAACCCTTAGTGTTGAATAGGAATCATTATTAAAGTTATCCTCACCCAGGGAGACCAGGTTTCTGTAGTTCTCTAACATCACGTCCCTATACAAATTCCTCTGAGCAGGGTCCAGGCATTTCCACTCCTCCAGAGAGAAGTCTATGGCCACATCCCTGAAGGTCAACAGTCTCTGAAAAAAAAAATATTTACCAAACGACCACAGGCAGAGTTCTTCATTTGACTTTAGGTGAAATGAGAGCAGTAAGGGAACAGGTCTGACATGAGTAACTAGAATTATTCAATACGATAATTTTTAACACAGAAATATTCCCTAATGCATTCTCTAACTCTGGGCAAAAGGGATGGCATAAGAGCCACAAACCGATGTACGTTATGTATTTTGCAAATAACACAGTATAAAATTAAGGGCAGTGACACAGTCATGCACATGTTTAAGTGCTATATTTACATCACACAGGATAAATTATGTATATTCATTATATGAAGAACTTAGGGTTAGTTGGATACATCCTTCCACAATTCTATTGTGTTCAACAAACAGGAGATCTCATTAAAATGTAGATGGTGACTCTGGAGATCAGAGTAAAAGCCTGAGTTTCTGAATTCCTAACATGCTTGCCAGTGATGCCAATGCTTCTAGACCAATGAGAGTATTTTGTCACACATTCAGTAAATTGTACAGCCTGAATTTTATTTCAGTTTATCTGACCAATAAACAAAGATAATAGACTTCATTTCTTTTATTCTTTTTTTTTTGAGTCAGAGTCTCACTCTGTTGCCCAGGCTGGAGGGCAGTGGCACACTCACAGTCACCACAGCCTTGACCTGCTAGACTCTGGTGATCCTTCTTCCTCAGCCTTCCAGGTAGCTGGAACCACAGGCACGCACTACCACGCCTGGCTAATTTTTCTTGATTTATTGTAGAGACGAGGTCTCGCCAAGTTGCCCAGGCTGGTCTCGATCCCATGGGCTGAGGCAATCCTCTCACCTCAGTCTCCCAAAGTGCTGGGATTATAGGCGTGAGCCACCACCAGCCTGACTTCATTTTTCAAAGTAAGCTATAGCCGGGTGCAGCTATATCTCTCATGTCCTGTAACCGCTAACAGTGTATTTATTTATTTATTTGAGTTGGAGTCACACTCTGCTACCCAGACTGGAGTACAGTGGCACGCTCACAGCCACTGAAGCCTCAACCTGCTGGGCCCAGATGATCCTTCCGCCTCAGCCTTCCATGTACCTGGAACTACAGATGCACGCCACCATACCCGGCTAGTTTTTGTGATTTATTATAGAGACAAGGTCTCACCATGTTGCCCAGGCTGGTCTCAAACCCCTGGGCTCAGGCAGTCCTCTGGCCTTGGCCTCCCAACATGCTGGGATTACAGAGTGAGTCACTACGCCCGGCCTTATTTTTTTTTTGAGTAGGAGTCTCACTGTTGCCCAGGCTGGAGTGCAGTGGCACTCTCATGGCCACCACAGCCTCGACCTGCTGGGCTAAGGAGGCCCTTTGCCTCAGACTTCCAAGTAGCTGAAACGACAGGCCGGCACCATCACGCCCAGCTAATTTTTTGATTTATTGTAAAGACGAGGTCTCACCAGGTTACCCAGGCTGGTCTCGAACCCCTGGACTCGGGCAATCCTCT